TGTTTTCAAGTTAGTATTTTTTTTCAGATGAACACCCAGGAGTGGAATTGCTGGATTTTTTGGTAGTTCTATTTTTTTTTTTTTTGAGGCACTTTAAAGAATCAGATTTTAAAAACTCAACTTATGTAAGTGAAACCAGAAAGTTCACCCATTACTCTCCCTTCCCACTGTAACCATCAATCTGTATCTATGAGCTTTCACTTTTACCTATTTTTTTGATTCCACATGAGATTATACAGTGTTTGTTTTTCTCTGATTTATTTCACCTAGCATAATGCCTTCGAGATCCATGTTGTTGGAAATGGCAAGACTTCATTTTTTAATTTTTTAATGGCTGGAGACTATTCTCTTGTAGAGGTATACCAGTTTGTCAACCCATTTATCCATCGATGGACATTTAGGTTGTTTCCATATCTTGGCTATTGTAAATAATGCCTCAGTGAACATGGGGGTGCAGATGTTTTCAAGTTAGTATTTATTTTTTTCAGATGAACACCCAGGAGTGGAATTGCTGGATTTTTTGGTAGTTCTATTTTTTTTTTTTTTGAGGCACTTCCATACGGTTTTCCATAGTGGCTACACCAATTTACATTCCCTCCGATAACACTTGTCTCCACATTCTCACCAGTGCTTTTTTTTCCTTCTGGATGATAGCTATTCTAACAGTTGTGAAATGTGGTTTTGATTTGCATTTCCCTGATGATTAATAATGTAGAGCATCTTTTCATTTATCTGTGGCCCATTTTTAACCAGAGTGTTCTGCTGAGTTGTATGAATTCTTTATATGTTTTAGGTATTAGCGCCTTAATCAGATAAGATTTGCAAATATTTTCTCCCATTCAGTAGGTTGTCTTTTCATTTTGTTGATTTTCTTTGCTGTGCAAAATCTGTAGTCAGTCTCTCTCGTTTATTTTTGCTTTTGGTGTCAGATTTTTAAAAATCACCACCAAGACCTATGTCAAGGAGCTTACTCTGTTTGTCTTCTAGGAGATTTATGATTTCAGATTTTATATTGTCTTGATTTTGACTTAATTTTTGTGTGTGGTATACAATAGTGGTCCAGTTTTCCCAAGATCGTTTTTTGAAGAAACTGCCCTATCCCAATTGTGTATTCTGAATACTAATGTTTTGTGGGTCATGCTTGCTAATAAGCTCAGTTAATTTTTTGTTTTCATTCTCTCTGGTGTTTTTGTGATTAGTCTCACTGTACTGAATTTCAGTCTTCATGCTTTTCTTAGGATTTGCATGCTTTGTTGAGCCATTCTTTCTTTAAACAAAAAAATTTTTTTAAAGCTTGATTTTAGTTTCCAGCATTGTTCATGACTTGAGATTCTTCCCCTCCCACTCGAACAGTTCTAAGCAAGAAATTCAGAGGACTGTGGCTCTTGCGGCCTGTTAGAGAACTTCTGACCTGACATCATTATGATATGTATGTTGTAAGGCATTAGTGTGTAATTTCATACTGACTTGGACCAGCTCACTATGTCTCTGATGGTACACACATTGTAGAAGTGGATTCCTCAGATGGATCCTATATAATATTACCTTAATTTGGGGTTGCAAAAATTGTTTTATTAACCCATCATTTTAAAAGCAACACCTGTTAAAAACTTGGCATTGAGATCCCATTACTCTACTTAGGTTGAATATAGGTATTTTTTGATAGTCATCCTCTCTGCTGTGATTTCATTCTGCCCTAGTTTTTGCAAATGAAACTGTTAAAGCTATAAAACCAACTTCAGTTTTCTTCCAGGATGTTCTAGAAAATAACCACACAAAGCAAAAAAACCAGAATGATAGATTTATTTGCTAGCATTTATTGCTAGGTTAATTTATTACAAAGACAATAACATTCTGTTGAACTTGGTTATAATTAAACACACTGTACCAATTCAAGATCATTATACTTATTTCATGGGTAGGAGGGAATGGTGGAGTGGGCTGGGATGCCAGAGTGGAAATAGGAACTTTAAACCAACTGCTCTTCAAGTGAGTTTTAAAATTAATTGGCCCCTTCCTTGAGGAGGGTCTGGCTCAGAAGAAACAGGACCTGGCAGAGCTGTTCACGGTGATCCACCACTAAAAACAGTAACATCTAAAAGATCGTAAACTTCTGAATGCTGGTTCATTAAGGTTCCCAGTAAAACTGAGTATCTTTTGTGGTACTCATCTGCTAGTTTTTATTGCATGATGCCTGGAACAATGATCAAAACTAGACCTGCATCGCTGCTAGTGCTCGAGCCTCAGAGCAGGGCTCGGCACCTAACTGCACAGATTAATGCTTATTAGGTCCAATTATGAGAGAAGCTTGATTATAAATACAATTTTCAGAATGACAGGCACTTAAAGCTTATTAAGTAAAATACAAAAATAGAGTATATTAATAGGAAATATTTAGTGTTTAATTATAAATCTAGGCTTTTGCCATTTTTAAAAAAGGATACTGGAAACTGAAAAAAGATGACATTCAAATAAAGTGAACGATGCATTTTCTCATAACTTTCAATCTGAGCGCTGAATAATAATCTAAGAAAAGGACTTACCACAAAGCACCTAAAATAACATTTGTAGATGGGTAGGACTGTTGTCAACCATTTCTTACTGTTTCCCTCCCAAGTCTCAGTACCAAGGCATCGAGAGTCCATTCCACAAGCGATTGTCAGCTTTCTGAAATCAGTTCGTGTGCCTGTGTATCAGAGAAGTTGAAAACCCTTAAGGAGGTAGCTCTCCTTGGGTGCTCTTCCCCCAAAAGCGCAAGAGTTATGCTTCAGATTCTGCGCCTGTATTTTCGCGTGGACTTCCATCATTGTCCTCTGGTTGATCGTTTAATAGTACATATTTTCCATCATTGGTTAGTGGTACGGACAGCATTAATTGAGCCAATGCTTCTGGATCCTGAAGTTATGGGAGTTTAAGAAGGAGAAAAGAAAACACTTAAAATGCACTTAACACCCCTTTGGCTTGGCTTCATGTTCTGTAGTCTAGCTTTATTCCTTCTTACTTGCCTATGTGTGTGCCTTCAGAGGGGTTTCCTTGCTTCTCTGAAAAAAACTCAATTACATTATTCCTAGAATCTAGTAGGCCTTGGTTTTCCTCTCAGCCAAAAATATCACTACATAGCCAAGTCATAATAATATTCCCAGAAAGAATCCAAAGAGGACTTCCCTCACAACATATCTTTCTCTTTTGTCTCTTCACTGTTTTCTCTCTTTTAATCTACACTAAGAGTTTGCAAGCTATGGCCATCTGGCTTGTTTTTGTAAACATTTTTTTGGAACACAGTCATGCCCATTCGCCATCTGGCTTGTTTTTGTAAACATTTTTTTGGGAACACAGTCATGCCCATTCATTCCATACTATCTCTGGACCAATTTGTGTTAAACAGCAGAGTTGAGGTCATTGAGACAGATAGAAAGCCCAAAAGGTTTACTATCTGGCCCTTTACAAAAAAGGTCTGCCAACATCTGGTCTAGACCATAAAATACTAACTTGCAGTGCTTGTCATTTCATGTACATCAGTCTCAGTCCTTGGTCCTTCTGCCCTCCCCGAAGACTAGAACCATAGTAATACGGTATTCACTAGCTACGTTAGTATTTAAATAAAATTTACAAATCCAGTTCCTCAGTCACACTAGCCACATTCGAGCTGCATGTTTTCCATTACTGAAGAAAGTTCTCCTGGACAGTAACTCATAGAAGCCCTCCGGGGCTGGAACTGATCAGTCTTGCTCACTGCTCTAATTCCAGGGTTTTTCTTCTTATAAATGGGGCTCTTAAAAACTTGCTGGGTGAATGAGACTGTAAGCTGCTGAAAGACAGGGAGGTCTGAATCGTCATTTCTAGTAAGTCTGTGGATGAGGTGTGTCAGTGCTGCCGGCCTGGGACGACTAAGGAACAAGGCTTCAGAGCATGTGATAGATGCTTAAGCTTGTGTCATCCTACTTTGAAAGACAGGAAATCTAGGCAACAGCAGCAAGCAACAAATAAGTAAAGCAAGAACTACAGAAGTGATGTTTTTAAGAACTCCACACATGTTGCCAATGAATGTGGAACTGATTAAGAATGTGGTTAGAATGCATAAAAAGGAAATCCCGAACTTGACCACACTGCCAAGTGAGCATCATTTCCCGTTTGGAGAGAAACCCTGACATGTATAGGTAGGTATCTTTTGAGTAGCTGCTAAACAAGCACTAAAGTGGACCTTACCTTCTGAACCTCATTGATTTCTTTTCCCAAATTAATAGCATAACATATCTGGAAAACACAAGAAAAGTGGTGTTTGGCAAAGGTAGAAAAGGATAAAGAATTTTAGGGGGATGGGGGGAATGTGATTATAGAAGTACAATGAGGTCACTGTCTACTCATGTCAACATGAGTGTCTACTGTCCCTGGTCTCCTGTTGCCAATCTGTGCGTACAAAAAATACCCAGCCAGTGGAACTTGAAATTACTCCAGCGTTTGAAATTCTTAACAGGATGCTGTTCCCTTTTTCTTTTGGCCACATTAGCCACTGCATGCTCACACATATAGTGGCAAACAGGTACTTGCTAAAAGGACTGGTTAAATTTGATTAATTCTAAGTAGTGAATGCAGTCACAAAGTTTTTCTACTAAATAAGTAGTGAATGCAGTCACAAAGTTTTTCTACTAAACAAGAGAACAGTTTAGATGTACTTTCTTGATGTCTGCTCCCTTGGTTTGCTCTCTGAGAGTAGATTGTAACTTCTGCTTTGAGGGGAACTGCTTTTAACAATTACTGGTAGGTCTACTAAACGATTATTACTCAGCATTAAAGTTCTTCTGTATTCAGTCTATTTTGGTTAATACGTATTTACCCCAGGGAAATTTTACTTCCAGGCAGTTTTCAGTGGGGCCTTCCTAGGAGGTATTATTATCTAAACTCAATGGGGACTTGCAGAATAATCAACTAAGTATCCAGGCAGTGGTGTAAAAAATGCCCTTTAAATATCTTCCTTTTATACTTAGATCTTATGGAATCTTAAGATGAAAAAAATAAGACCTTTTCGCCTTCTGAGTTGCTTTCAAAAACATATGTGCTCAGAGACTCTCTGCCTGTGGATTCAGGCAAGCGGACCACAAAGCCAACCAGTCTCTTGTTTTCTTGATGAGCAGCGAACTGGGTGACACTGGTGAGCTCAAACTGGAAAAAGAAAGAATAGACTGAATATCACGCCACAAACTGGAACTAAACAACAGACAATGCCATCCTCCATGGAAAGTCATAAAAAGTGCACTGTTAGTGGCAGTCATTGAACTTGTGTTTAAGGTGGTTACAAAGATGAACAGAAGTAATCACTAAAATTGGCAAGTGTGAGGAGACTTACATTGGCTCTGGATACTTGAGTCTGAGGATCTATTAACCTGAAATGTTAACAGATACATTATGTCACAAACGTTCAATAAACTTAGAAGAGCTTGTGGGGGCTGTCTCTGTACTTCTTTAATAATGCTCTTTGATGCAGTATAGTTTCTCAGTGTTTTTATATATATTTGCTCTGATTTTTTGTGTGGAAATTATAAGAACAATGAACCAATGCCTATAAAAGACCCAGGACATACTTGGAGAAAAGCTGTCAATAAATGTAAGTTTTATTCTTAAGAAGCCAATTCTTACAAGGTTTATAACAAAGGAAAAAGACTGAGTTTTGCCAACACCTAGTTCACTTTTTTGAAGCTAACATTTATTGAGCAGTTTCTGTGTGCCAGTTGCGGTTGTAAATGTTTCATATCTATTCCTCATGACAACACTAGGAGGTGTAGATACAGCGGAAGAAACCAAGGCACAGGGATTAAATAACTTGTCCAAGGTCATACAACTAGTAAATGCCAAAGCCAGAAATGAGCCTAGCCATTCTGGCTCTAATGCAGTGCTGCTGTCCTATAGAAATAGAATGTAAACCTCATACATACATTTTTCTAGCACCCATTTACATTATTTAATCTAAAATATTAAATTAATGAGATGTTTTGTATTCTTTCTCGGGGTCAGGACGAGATCTTAGAGATTTGCTATATCCTGTTTTTACACTGACAACACATCTCAGTTCAGACTGGCTGCCTGTAGCTACAGAACTGGACAGCGCAGCTCCTGAAGCCTCTGTTACAGTTAACCATGTCCTGACCGTCATTAGCCATGTTCATAAAGACCTTATTGCCAGAGTCCCCAAACCAGGTAGTTTAATTTATTTTCAGCCCAACAAATACTGAGCAGATTTTCTTGTGGTGGTCTAGTTACCTCAGGCAGTTTTAGGTCCTATATTCATTGTTGTTATTTACAAATAGTATTCTCAGAAATGACAAAAACAAACAACCCACCTTCCATTTTCAAGTTTCTGAGATGTAGAGAGTAATTCTAGAAGGATGGCCATCTTATAAACAACAGGATTCACCCATCACTAAATTCCTAGATTATCATTAAGGGAGCATCTTCTACCCAGTACATCTTACAGAATTGAAATGGACACTTAATCCAACCAAATGCTCTAGTTATGAGCTGCAGGTGGGGGAACGTGCCTTCAGAGGGGGCTGAGGAAGCTATAAGAAAGAGTGAAACCAACCGCATGTACCTCAGCATCTGACTGGTGACCATCAGATGGGATTCTGTCATACGGAAGATGTTATGAATAGCCCGTGCCGCCAACACTTGTCTCATCGCCTCATAAATCACTTCGGTAGTGTCGTCTGTTTTAACTGCCATCGATCCCAAAAACCGAACTATAAACATCTGTTGCAAAAGAGAATCTGCAAGAGAGCATTTTCTGCTCAGGGTCACACTCATGTCCTGCCTGCTGACCTGCACCCAGCACCAGGGCTGCTGGTCTGAGCGCAGCTGCCAGACCTCAGGACTGGTCTGCTTTCTATGGAGGGCTTTCCACCCAAATCTCTGAATACTCTGCTTTTACAAGCCCCACGCACACTGCCGAAGCTCTGAATCTCCTTCATGTTGTCTACGCTTTGTCTGTTTGGAACTACTTCCTTATATTAGAAAAGCCCTGCTTTTTCTCCATGGTCTTATGACCATGGTACCAGGTAAACAGCCTCCTGCAACCAAACCTGGATGAGTACACCAAGGTGGCAGTATATGCACCATATCTTTTCTCTGAAAAAAACCTTTTTCTACTGGACAACAGAAATTCTTTCCTTTGGCCTATGGATTAAGTCCTCTTAGAAAAGAAAACTTATTTGAAGAAAATAAGACCTGACGTTGGGTCTTACTTATGATTGAAGGGCAGTGATATGTTCCACAAACGAATGGAGATCGCAAACTAAGTGTGCGTATGTGAGTCCCTGAACTTCCAGTACTGGCTTCCTGAGGACAGTGTATCACCTGACAAAACTCAATGACGGCAAGTAACTGGCAGACCATGAAGATAGTTTAAAAGCTCTTTTTTTCTGTCAGAATAATTCATTTACCTACTACTTTAAACTAAGTCTTTTTGCCTAGTTGTCCTCCCATTAGTATCCTAGCCCCTAAAAATAACCTAGGAAAATATAACAAATGGTTACTCCCATATGAAGAGTTTTTACAAGTTTGAAAATTTTTGTTCACAAACTGGACTGCATTAAAAGTCAGCTAGACATAAGAAGAGAAGAGGTTTGAGGCAACATTTTTTTTTTTTTTGCTTAAAGGGTTAAGAAGTGCCAATTCTCAAGTCCTCCTTTCACAGGTAAGTAAGCGGCACTTTATTCTGACAGTGTTCTCAGGCTCCAGTCCTGCTGCTGGGTTTCAATGAGTCTTTCCAGCTCTTCTAGCTACTCAGTTGCCTTGGCTGGGAACTCGAGTCCTCTCTGTGGAGCAGGAGGTTATGGTCAGCTCAACTGAGTATGTTCTGATGTACATCGGGATGTAAACCAAACAAGATACGAATTTAAACCAATAACACTCATGTGATCTTAAAATTCAGGAAGGAATGATTTGTGGTTTTGATTTTCTGAGATGAAATAGCACACGTGTGACTCACCCAGGCTGCATTTTTAGGCGATCATTTTATCTTCTGAATTTGTTTCTGTAATAATGTGACACCAAATCTAGTTTTGGCAACTTTCAATGCAGGAGTGCGGAAGGTATGAATGTAGCTAGTGGTGCAACAGCTTCCCGTCAGTTTGTACCCAAGTCCTAATGAGTCCTCAGAGAACAATGAACATATTTCAGATCCCCGCCCTCTAGAACGTGATGTCACATCTTGTTTCTGTGGCCCTGGCCACTGTGCAGAGGAGAGAGTGAGCACACCAACGCACCACGTACCTTCTGCCTCTGGGAATGCGTCATCCTCAGTCTCACCAACAG